CAAGCGCTAATCAAAAGCTAATAAGACCTGTTGCGGCGTGCAGCCCGATCCACATAAAGCCAAGCCAATATGACATGTTGCAGTGTGCAATCCGATCCACAATAACACTCTCAACACGGCCTAAGGCCCACCGCATTCATCAACCTCTCAAGTCCTAAGGGCTCACAATCTCATATCACTCAGCCCAACAGCATTACATATGTGAAAATAATAGCATGCGATGTAACAATGAATGATGAGCAAAGACTGAAATATGTTATGCAAATGAAGAGTCATGACTGAGTCTATAATTACAGTTAAATCTGATAACCCAAAACAATAGAAATAGCCTCACCAGGTCTTAATCAACTAACCACACAACCTAAATATGATCTCTAGCATGAATCATGGCTCAATTAATCTAACAAGTAGGAAAAATATGGACAAAATAAAACATGATAGCAACACATTATAAAAGTCAACCTGGATCCTTATTACCCCAACACATCACAAATTACATGTTTCCCAGGGATAAATACCCCCAATTTCAAGTTTAGAAATGTTACTTACCTCAAAACGTGCAAATCAATACTCTAACAAGCTCATTCCACGTAAATCGGCCTCCAAACTAATCTAATCTATCCAAAAACAACTTAATATCATCAAATAATGTCGTAGGAAACAACTTCAAACAAAAATAAAAAAAGTCAACCCCGAGCTTGCACCCCGAAATCCGGTCAAACTCACTAATTTCGAACACCCATTCAATTAAGAGTTCAACCATTCCATTCAGGTGGTCAGACGAGTGTAAGGAGAGCTTTCAGAAGCTCAAGATGGCATTGACTATGCTCCAATATTGGTTTTGCCTTTAGGATCAGGATCATATATGGTTTATTGTAATGCTTCGAATATTGATCTTGGATGTGCATTGATGTAGGACGGTAGGGTGATTACTTATACATCACGCCAGCTTAAGCCCCACGAGAAGAACTATCTGGTGCATGATTTGGAGTTAGCTTCCATTGTACACACGCTCAAGAATTGGAGGCATTACTTATATGGCATATCTTGTGAGGTATATATGGATCACTGGAGTCTCTAGCATCTATTTAAACAAAAAGATTTAAATTTGAGGTAGTTGAGATGGTTGGAGCTATTTAAGGACTATGATATCACCATTCTTTATCATCCGAGGAAGGCCAATGTAGTAGCTGACGCCTTGAGTATAAAGGCAGAGAGCATTGGTAGTTTGGAATTTATTCCAGCTATAGAGAAATCGTTAGCTATGGATGTTCAGGCTTTGGCCAACAGCTTCGTGAGGTTGGATATTTCGGAGCCTAGAAGAGTACTTACTTGTGTTGTGTTGCAGGCATCTTTGTTTGAGTGCATTAAAATTCACCAGTATGATTACCCCCACTTGCTTGTCCTTAAGGACACGGTGCATCGAAGTGGTTCTAAAGAGATGACTATTGATGATAATGAGATATTGAGGCTTCTAGGTCAGATCTCTGTTCCTAAGGTGGATGGTTTGAGGGAGTTGATCCTTGAGGAGGCTCAGAGTTTGTGGTATTCTATTCACCCAGGTACTACAAAGAAGTATCACA